CTGCTGCTAACTACATAATGGGATAAAGATAACCTACTAACTTTATTCAAGTCAGTGGCTTTGGGGTCGCTAAAAAAAAAAAGAAGTTAGGACACATTTGTGTCAGTGCAAACCAAGTTCCAAACATAACTTCTCAGCATAGCACAAGGAGAGGAAGCTCACATTCATTAGAAGTCACCTAAATACTACTACTACTACTACTAATAATATTTATTATTATTTTATTATTTAAAAAACTCATACACATGGTAGCTTTTCTCCTTCAATGACATGTCACTTGCTTATTAGTGTAAATATCTGATATAATGATTTTGAGATTATCCAAGCATCTTGTTATTGGGAAGGGAAGAATAATGTACATTTAATATGAGTGAACCATCCGATTTCAATATTTAGGATTTCTGGGTTATAAGATATTCATACAATGTTTTTTAATCCTTCCTCAACCCCAAAGTCACCCTTTTCTTTGGAAGTTTCAGAGGGGTAGCCGTGTTAGTCTGTCACTGAATTTTTTTTTTAAAAGCCCAACAATGAATAGTCCTGCAGAACCTTAGAGACCAACAAAAAATGATGATACAACCCACAAAAGCTCATGATATCATCTTCATTTTTTGTTAGTCTCTAAGGTGCTGTAGGACTATTCTTTTTTTGTTTGGGTTATGCAATGTTTCTCAAATGAAAACCTGTCTATAGTATGTTGGCCATTGTACAAAGCAGCAAATTATGTATCATAATAATTAGGGAATGGAACAATGGTGCAAAAATCAGAATGCAAGACCCAATCCCATTCTATGCCAAAAACATAAGACAAAAAGTAAATTTTAAATTGGGAAATGCTACGTTAACTTTTTCAAATGATCACAGTATACGTCTGTGCTTCCATCTAAATTTGAAAGAGACACCAACTTGACACTGGAGTAGAAGCGTGGGTAATGCTCCTAGACAGTATTGATCTTCCATGCTTCGGCAAATTCTCTGGTTCGTCACTAGTCAGGACCCAAGGGTGTCAAACTAGAGAGATTCAATCTGTAGCTCATTTCCTAGACATGTTCTAATGTATTTTGCAGACGTTTTCAAATAGAGATGCCTCCATTTCTCAAGGGTGATTATTTTATATCCTAACAGACCTTATGTTATGCAGCATTGCAGAAAAGGTTGATACTATCACTATTATAGATATTTGATTACTACTGTATTAATTTATAACCAGCCACCTGGGACCATTCATCTTCCATTTCAAGTGTTCTTTAAATCCCATCTCTCTTCTTGGTCAGCATGCTATGTCATTTTACCATTTAGCAGCTATTCAATGGGGATATTTTTAGTGCATTTTACTGCAAGACTTATTATTCAACACTTATCTGCATTTGCAATCTATTAGCCTAAGTACTTAATTATCTAGGTACTTCACCTGATTGCATTGCTCCTTACTATTTGCTGTGACTGCTAATTTAATATCACTTGCAGACTTGGAAAAGGCTTCCACGACCAGCCACTAAGTCATTTACATTTATCTTTCCTTTTAATGGCAATGTATTACCACACAGCCCTTAATGTATGAAGGGGTGGTACAGATTCACCTTGCCCTCTAAAACTTGCATTCTAAAAAGTTAAAATAAACACATGAAGCATGAGAGCAACACACAAACAACTGTTTCAGAGTGACAATGGTAAAGAATCACAGTAAGAGTTGCTTTCTTCTTACCCTGAAAAAGAAATTTTATCCATCAGGACAGTGATAATATCTATAAAGCTGAGTGTATGTTCATGTCTCTCTGCTTCACTGTACAACTCATGCCTAGAGCCAGCCTCCTCTCAGACTTCCTCATAGTTTTAAGGGAACTGTGCATATCTTCCACACGTTAACGTTCTTTCCTGCTATCCTTTCATTAGTGTGCAATCCATTGGCCCAAATTTTCAGATATTCTCTCTCAAATTGAACCTGCAAATCAATGTATACTCATTGCATGAGGCTGTTTTAAGTTCAAGTACATTACATGGTTAAATGTGTCCTGAATTTGGAATGTGCATTTTATGTCTTTTTGTACTTACTAATGGCGTGATAGGTTGCTTACACGGACTCCTGATATCATTACTATTTCTGCTTTTATATATACATATATTAAATACATACACAATCAACTGAAAACCTGCTACTAACTTTACTATTAATCTATATAACCACATATTCTTCTTATTAACCTCATTCTCCCCACTTACTATTTCCTCCAATTGTTTGTTCTATTTGTTACATCTTGTGTTAGATTACACACTCTTTAGAGAAAGACTTTCTTCAGCTCTATGTTTTTTTTTCAGCAACTAGCATAATGAGGTCTTGATTTTGATGGAGCCCCCAGTTTCTAATCAAGTAATAATACAAATAATAATGAATTTCTCTTGGAATAACTAAATCTGACATATCTAGAATTTCATCTATTCCTCCCCTATATCTCACCACTCCCAGTTGATTTTAAATAAGACTTCAGTTTTATTTTTTGTGTCAAGGCCTCTTTTAGAAAGTGGTGAAATAGCCATTATGTAAATAAGCCTTCTCTTTCTGTCACTTCTTTTGATCACTGGGATGACCTAAGTTCTTGTAAACTTCAAGAGTCTCCTATGTGTTTCTGTGTAACTTAGTGTACTTTAAAAGTCAGAGTTCATTCTTGGGAGAATTTGCATTCTTCCTCTCCTGTCCTTCTGTGGAATATACTACAGAGGAGACCCTGAGTGCTTGTCTACACAATGGAGAAGATTGATGCTGCTGCAGTCAATCTTCTGAGGTTCAAACTAGTGGGTCTAGTGAAAACCCACTAATTCAAACCGAGAGGGTGCTCCTGTTGGCACTGGTAGTCCTACTCCTCACAAGGAGTAAGGGAAGTCAACGGGAGTGTGTGCTCCTGTAGACCTCCTGCTATATGGATGGTGTCAAAACGCAATTTAAGATACTTGAGCTCCAGCCAGAGGCGGACAGGCCAGGCGGGATACTGGGAATTTCCCGGTGGGCCGTTGTCCGGTGGGCCGTCGTGTCCGCACACTATTGCCCCTTACTCTGAGCAGCTCCGCATCCGCGCTGTATATGGCACGCAGAGTCCAACCTGCTGCCTGCGCCGCATGCCGGACATGATGCAGAAGGCGGGGTTTGAGAGGCACGCAGAGGTGATGTCATGGGGAGGGCTGTTCTCAACCCATTTCCCAGGCCTATTTTGATTGCCAGTACGCTCCTGACTCTAGCTACGTAATTAACATAGCTGGAGTTGCTTATCTTAAGTTGACTTTCCCCTTTAGCACAGACCAGGCTTTAAGGAGATAATATATCTTATTATATCTAACTTGGATTTCAATATGGATATTACAGGTGATACTATGAATGGCATCTCCCCTGCTCTATTCCCTGCACTCCACGGAGCGTCATTCATGCAAGCTGCAGCACAGCTGCATAGGGCATCGCAATATAAACAATGCTCCTCCCTATGAGGAGTGGAAGAATATCACTTGTTCGCAGGTTTCCACAAGGTGACAACCACACCCAGGATTAACAGGGGCAGGTAAAATGTATCGGAAAAATTTAGCACAATCAAGAAATTTGTCAGAGCCTCTGCTGCATGATTTTTCTCTTCCATTTCAAAGGGAAAAGTGAAGGCAGAGGATCAGAGAAGTTGGAGAGTGGAAAAATTGCAAAATAATGCAGCTTCATTTGGTTTAATTTATTCATGCCATGTTATTAAACATCCAAATGTAGAATTAAGTAAATGAAGACTGTTTAATAAATACAGATTAACGAATATATTGCTTTCAATTGATACAACTCCATAATGCAATAAAACATTTTCTGCTGATGATATACTTTACTTATTATTCATCACCACCAATATTTCTCTAAGTGCTATACATTATTTATGAAATATCTTACTAATTAAAGTAACAATCAGATTTCCCCCTTTAGAATAGCCTCGTCTCATTTGTGGCTGGTTTTGCCTGATTAATTAGGATGCTTAGTATTACTGGTTTCTTTACCACATTAAAACCTCACAGTACGGTATTATGGTTGAGAAAACTGGATGGGAGATCCTTGATAACATGCTTCTGAACTGCCTACTGGGCAGGAAGGAGGGGTCACAGATGAATCATTTCATCGTCATCTTCTCCCCATCACTTGCCTCAGTGTGTTGGTAGCAGTATTAGATCCTGCTATCATAGGGTATGTCTACACTACCACCCTAGTTCGAACTAGGGTGGTAATGTAATCAACTAGAGTTGCAAATGAAGCCCGGGATTTGAATTTCCTGGGCTTCATTTGCATGTTGCCGGGTGCCGCCATTTTTAAATGTCCGCTAGTTCGGACTCCATGCCCCGTGGCTACATACGACACGAACTAGGTAGTTCAGACTAGGCTTCCTATTCCGAACTACCGTTACTCCTCGAGGAGTAACTCGAGGAACGAGGAGTAACGGTAGTTCGGAATAGGAAGCCTAGTCCAAACTACCAAGTTCGTGCTGCGTGTAGCCGCGGGGCACGGAGTCCGAACTAGCGGACATTTAAAAATGGCGGCGCCCGGTAACATGCAAATGAAGCCCGGGAAATTCAAATCCCAGGCTTCATTTGCAACTCCAGTTTACTACATTACCACCCTAGGAGGAACGAGGAGTAACGGTAGTTCGGAATAGGAAGCCTAGTCCAAACTACCAAGTTCGTGCTGCGTGTAGCCGCGGGGCACGGAGTCCGAACTAGCGGACATTTAAAAATGGCGGCGCCCGGTAACATGCAAATGAAGCCCGGGAAATTCAAATCCCAGGCTTCATTTGCAACTCCAGTTTACTACATTACCACCCTAGTTCAAACTAGGGTGGTAGTGTAGACATACCCATAGGTAGTAAATATCAAATAAAAACGATGTCACTGAGCCATAAAGGCAGGTACTGAATCATGCAACAACAGTAAATAATGTACATGCTTTTGGGTCATTATACACCTTTAATTTAATAAATAATTAACCTCCTTACCTTAAATACTAGTTCTCCGATCAGTCCATTCCATGACCCATCCTCCTGGGGACTTCCATACTTGTGATCTGGTGCAACATAAATTTCATATTTAAAGCCAAGGTAATTAGCTAAGGCTTCCAAGACATCTACTGAGAAACCCTGGTATTTCTTCGGTTTTCCCAAAACATTTTCAGACACCATCACAAACGGCTCTTCCTAAATAGAGAGAAAGATGGTAATATAACCACTTTTTGCACTGACCAAAAAGGAGGGTGAAATTAAAAAATTATCTAACATTATCTGGACATTTTATTTCTTTTTCAAGAAACTAGAAAATTAACTATGGGTCTAATATTGTGAATGATTCCTAACTCTGCAAGTAATACCACTCATTTAAACAGGACTAGCTATTATAGTAAGGTGGCAAATATCAGACTCAGCTATCTAAATTCTGAAATCCTTACTCACACTGATATCATCCTATTGAAGATACTCCGTCGGCACACTTTAGTTAATGTGATGATTTGTGGAATAAAGAATGTTGATAACTCCTAGAATTTTATTGTGAGTTTTATGTTATTTGGCTTTAATCTTAAAGCCACAGCTACAGAAGTCATGGTATTTCATAAGAATCTCAGCCTTCTTTTTGAAACAGGAAGTTTTTAGCCCTCTCATTTGGGGATTAGAACTTGAAAAGATGACCCAAGTACATTCTAAAGCTTCAAGAACCAGAAGATACACAAACGAAGCACAACATGTATTTACAAAAAAACACTCATGATTGTGGGGCCTCTGAGAGGATGTTTGAATGGTTAGGTTTGGCAACACTGAATAAGGTGCTATTACACTCAAATACAGAATAAGAATCATGTTTATATTAATTGCACCTTCAAAAAATATTATATAGGGAGTACATTTCACACTTCTCATTTTAAAATTCATCTGTGCTTTTCATATTTACTTGTATTCAATTAACAATTTTTTTTGAAATAAGCTTTTGAATTATACTATATGCTACTAATGATGTCTAATTGACTTTTAGATGTCATTGCTTTTTGCCATATGTTTCAAAAAATAGGTCAAAAACACAATCAAGTGTTTCTCCGTATAGGATTCTTCTGATTGTACACTTGTCTTGCGGAGAAATGCACTACTCAGACATGAAGGATTCCACAAGACTGTCATTTTCCAAAACAACTGATGTATCTCACAAATAAATATCATCTCCTATATATTTGAGAGAGTTTGTCTGTCTCTGAACAAGTGAGTCTGTCTGTATGTCCATCCGTTTGTTCAAGAACTTCTAAACGGTAAGAACTAGGACCACCAAATTTGGTATGAAGCTTCCTCTTGTCATAACTTAAAAGCAAGGTAAGGTAAAGGTTTTCTTGTGCCAGGACAATAAGATGTGCCTGGAATGTGATTATGTTTCATAACATGGAGAGGGAAGAGGCTGCTATCAGAGACAGTTGTGCTGTATAATGACCACAGTGGGGCAGCAAGGGGCCAGAGATGGGAACCAAGATAGCTACAACCTCATGGGGGCAACAAGGGGTGGAGGTAAGATTTCCATCAGCCCATCCACTGACACTCCAGCCATCCCCAAGGATCCGCCATCCAGGCAGTGTTCTCCCTGCCACCCCAGCTAGCCCCAGGTTTGGGATGTGAAATTTACATTAATTGGGTAATCGAATGGTCAATACAATTTGCATAGACTATTTGATTAACAGATAAGGGCACTCCTGACTTTGAAGTGTAACAACAGATCCAGGGCTTTTGCTACACTTCAAAGGAAAAAGTGCTATGGGAAGCATGGGGTGGGGGGACTCAAGCAGTCTCCCGCTGGCCCTGGGCTCCCTGTGGAGTTTCAAAGTGGCAGCACCCCATGGAGTCTGGGGTTAGAAGGGGAGACCCCTGCTGGCCCCAAGCTGCACACGGCGATTCAAAGTGGCAGTGCTGCAGGGAGCCCAGAGTTTGGCCCCGGGCTCCACACAGCACTGCCACTTTGAAGCACACACCACTCTCTGCCACCTTGCTGCCTCTTTCTGAAAGAGGCAGCAATGGTGGGAGGGGAAGGGGAAGCGATTAGTTGACTAGTGTGTAAACTATCCAATAAACAATTGCTTATCAGCTAGTCGACTAGTCATTCACATCCTTACCCCAGGTAGCTGCTGCCCAGGCAATGTGGTTCCCATCTGGACATCCCTCTCCCCATTCCCTTGCCCTGAAACTCCATCACCCAACCTCCGACTCTGACTCCTGCTCCTCCCCATATTACTGCCTTGCACCCCATCCCCTTCCCTGAGCCCCCATAAACTTCTGACCCTTTGCCCTGAACTCCTACATCCCCCACATTCACCCTGGGTATGTCTACACTACCCCGCTCGTTCGAACTAGCGGGGTAATGTAGGCATACCGCACTTGCAAATGAAGCCTGGGATTTGAATTTCCCGGGCTTCATTTGCATAAGCGGGGCTCCACCATTTTTAAATCCCCGCTCGTTCGAACCCCGTGCCGCGCGGCTACATGGGGCACGAACTAGGTAGTTCGAACTAGACCTCCTCATTCCACGAGGAGTAACGGTAGTTCGAACTAGGAAGCCTAGTTCGAACTACCTAGTTCGTGCCGCGTGTAGCCTCGCGGCATGGGGTTCGAACGAGCGGGGATTTAAAAATGGCGGAGCCCCTCTTATGCAAATGAAGCCCGGGAAATTCAAATCCTGGGCTTCATTTGCAAGTGCGGTATGCCTACATTACCCTCCTAGTTCGAACTAGGGTAGTGTAGACAAACCCTCTGACTCCTGTACGTAAACACACACACACACACACACACACACACACACACACACCCCACCCCAGCTGCTGCAGCGAGAAAGGGTTGAGATAGTCCTCTCTCACCAGAGCAGCCTGCATACTGAATCCCTCAACCACAGCCCCACCCCAGACCAGTGATTTAAATGAAGAAAAACAAAAATTAATTGAGTTAAGGACTCAAGCAACTCCAGGTACATTTTCTATTTAAACTGAAAAAGAATAGCCACATAATCAAAAGACTAACATTTTTCTTGTCGAATAGTGATAGAAATGTAGCCGTGTTAGTCTGGGGTAGCTGAAGCAAAATGCAGGACAATGTAGCACTTTAAAGACTAACAAGATGGTTTATTAGATGATGAGCTTTTGTGGGCCAGACCCACTTCCTCAGATCAAAAGCTCATCATCTAATAAACCATATTTTTCTTGTCCTTCTCTTTCTCCACTGTGAACTGGATACACCAGATTATCCATATATAACATGACAAGATGTAAACTGGTTGACATTATTTTAAATGATTTAATCTAAATGATACTAAATCAATTTGCTTAAGGAATAGCAGGTGGATTTGCCTTCAAGAACATGAGGGTGCGTCTACACTGCAGTTATTCTGGAATAACCACCGTTTTTCCAGAAAAACTATATTAGTGTCTACACAACAATTGCATTATTTCAAAAGAAAATTGAAATAACCGAGGGCTTTTTCCAACATTGATAAACCTCATTGCACGAAGAATTACGCCTTTTCTGAAAAAGCTATTTTGGATGAAGGTATGTGTGGATGCTCCACTGTTGCTATGTTGAAGTAGCTCCTCACCAGGGCCTTCAGTGCCTCCTGGAGCTCTAAAACGAGATAGCACATCTACATTAGAGAAGCCTGCCTCGGACTAATTTTGAGGCTTCCCTGTAATGTGGACAGTCTATTTCGAAATAAGCTAATCCAGAAGATATCTTCCGGAATAGCTTTTTCCAAAATAAACTTGCAGTATAGATGTAGCCTGTTTGCGCAAATATTCAGACAAAAATAGACATCGGATTGGTGAGTTAGTTTGTCCATAAACAAGATTTCTAAGTCAGTGCCGTTTTCTTTCATTTTTCACTAAGATCTGCAAGTGTGGTTTAATTTAAAGTTAAGCCATGTAACAATATAGTCTCTGCACTTCCAAGGTTGTTTTAACCAATATTTGTTACTTTTCTTTTTCCTACATCATCTTTTCCGTCATATGTTTTTTCTAGATTCTTGACAAAAGAAAAAGAGAGTCAAAATATTATTTGTGAGTACAATAATATGTTGATTGCCACAAAGGGTGATTAATTAGGGAGTTTTCATCGGGGTTTTTATTTTTCTGATCATCTGAGAAAATCTCTCCACTCTGCCCATCATCTTTTATTCATAGTTGAAAGATTCACTGTCCATAGCCCACTTATGACATTTTCAAAAAAGTACTTTCCTGCTTTTTCTCAAGCTGTCCCTCACATTTGGGAGGATCTGTCCACAAACATCAACAAAGCTAACTCAATATGCACCTTCAAATTCCCACAATACTTGCCATTTCTTGCTTGTTTATTGGGTCCACCACCCTTCACGCTCACCAATATCGTCTCATTGTTTCCATGTATTCCCCCACAGATTTGTCTATATCCATTTGTTGTCTTGTATATAAACTGTGAGCTCTTTAAGGCTGCAAGGATTTTCCGTCATGCTCTCACCTCCTGCTCCTAGTGCTTTTAGCTGACAACAGTATGCAGAGGAAGGCTCTTATTGCTCTGTATGTATTTGTAATCCACATGCTAAAAAAGTATGTGGTGGTTTTGCTACACAATGGCATCTCTAAAATGATGTTTCATATCTCCCCATTTGTTCAGCTCTTTCTCGATGGGATATACTATTAACATGTAAAAAGGATTGCTTGGTTTTTATTCCCCTCTATAAACACAACATGGATCTCAATGTCAAACTGCATTATCTTTTTGTTTCTCACACATTGTCACTAATAATAAACATTCTGTTGTCAAATCTTAGCTGAGTATTTTGTACATAGCAAAAGTGTAAAATAATCCAGCTGTAATGGCTCACAAGCGCTGTGAATAATGTAGGTAACTATGACTCAAAGACACACAGAAAGCAGATATCTGAATAAAGTAACATTTTTACAGACTGTTGTCACTCTGTCCTGACAACAAATACATGTTAAGAATATTGTCAAACAAATACACGTCATCAAATTGTGTTAGGAAACCATTCTTTTATGACTGGGGGCGAGGAGGGGAGGAAGTGTTGACCCATTCATCAAGATATTACTCTGCATCAGTCAGTCTCAATTGTTTTCTTTCAAATCACATGTACCATCATCCAAATATTTGGGGAATGGACCAGAAGATCTTGAGGTTTCTTTGAGTACTTT